CACGGCGGCACTTCGGAAACCGAGAAGGCTGCTCGCCGGGTTCTTGCCCGCTCATGAATCACCCCCACGCTGCGCCGGCTGCTCCACCCTGGCGGGCACCGCGTCCGTAACCGGTACGACATTGGCCTGACGCGCTGTTCCTTTCGCGGGGCGCTCCTCCGCCGGTCCGATGAGGCTGATGGCCAGCGAATCGGTGATCGGGTCCCTGTACACTGCGGCCTCCACGCCGAACGCGCGGGCCATCGCCTCCGGCGTGAGGACCTCGTCCGGGGGGCCCTCCGCCAGTACCCGCCCCTCGACCAGCAGCACCAGCCTGTCGCAATAGCGAGCCGCCATGCCCAGATCGTGGATGGCGGCAATCGCCGCGAGCCCTTCGTCGACGAGACGCCGCACCAGGTCGAATACCTTGAGCTGGTGGAAGACGTCCAGGTTGGACGTGGGCTCGTCCAGTAACAGGACGCGGGGCTGCTGGGCCAGCGCGCGGGAGACGAACACCCGCTGGCGCTCCCCTCCAGCGAGCGTGTCGAGCGTCCTGTCGGCGAACTGCTCCGTCTCGGTTAGCCGCATCGACTCCCGGGCTATGCGATCATCCTCCCTGCCCTCGATCTGGAAGCGCCCCAGGTGGGGATACTGCCCATGAGCACCAGCTCGATGGATGTGAAGCCGTGGGTGTACGGTGCGATCTGTGGGAAGAGCGAAAGAGTAGCGGCAACGCCCCTGGACGACAGGGATTCCAGGTCCTTGCCTCCAAGCCGCACCGCACCGTCCTGGCAGCGCAGGATGCCCGATATGGCCCTCAGGAGCGTGGACTTCCCCGCCCCATTGGGGCCTATCAGGCCGACGAGCTGCCCGCGGTCGGCGCGCAGGTCCACGCCGTCGATCAGCGTCTGCGCCTCTACTTCGTAAGTGAGGCCATGGGTGCTGATCGCGTGTGGTCTTGCGCCGTTCATGTTCACCTATTCGGCCAGGCTGAATCGAGTCCTGACAGGCTCGGGGAAGTCCTCCGGCCAGAGTATGCGCGCGAGGTCTCGCGCCGCGAATGTTCCAGTACGATAGCGTGGTGAAGTGCTTGCCCTCGACGATGTGGACCTGCTCGGTTCTTGACTGCTGGAATCTCGGCGAGCGCCTCGTTCGCATAAAGGCTCTGCCGGAAGTCCTCAGCGCCGAACTCGAGCGGCTGGGCGATGACGATGACCTCCGGGTTCATGGCGATGACCCCTTCGAGGCTGGTGGTCTGGTTCTCCTCGATTCCCGCCTCCTCGGCAAAAGGAGTCTCGACTACCACTCGGTTCTCCCACGCTGTGGCCCCGCCGCAGAGGGTTCACGCCTGCCCTCGGTGGAGTTGCCGGCCGCGACCCACAGCTTGTCCGAGTACTGTGTCAGCGCAAGGACCCTGGGCTTGGGATTGGCTTTGCCGGTGACCGCAACCAGGGAGTCATGCCGCTCGCGCACCTCGGAGGCGAACTCGACGGCGCGCTCCTCCTCCCCAAAGATGTAGCCCATCAGCAGGATGCTGTCGATCCGCGCCTCGGGATCGTGCTTCAGCTCCGTCTGCACGACCGGTATGCCGGTCCTCGACAGGGCTTCGACCGCCTCGGCCGGGAAGAATGGACTGGTTACCACGACGTCCGGCGACTGGGCGATGATCGTCTCCGGGTCACGTGAGATCTCGGTAATCCCCTGCACCAGCGAGGCGACGTTTGAGTAGATCGAGTTCTTCGTCGAGCTCCCGACTCCCACAAGCCGGTCCCTAGTCACAAGGGCCAGGGTCATTTCGTCGTGTCCCACGGATGCGGTGATGATGCGCTCGGGCTGGCCGGAGTGACTCACCAGGCCCGTCAGGCAGCTCCACCTCGCGGGGCGGCCAGTCGAGGTGAGGCAGTCGATCTTATCCCGAGTACGCCCTCGAATGCCTTGGTCGGCGGCTCAGGGGTTGGAGTTGGCTCGGGCGTCGAGGTAGGCTCGGTGTGGACACCGGAGTTGGGGCCGATGTCGGCGCGGCAGTCGGAGCCTGGGTGGGCGCCGCGGTCGGCGTCGGCGATTCCGAGGAACATGCCGCGAGTGCAAGGGCCAGCAGGACAGACAGGGGAACGATGAGGGCGCGAGGCAGTCGATTCGACACCAGTACTCCTTTGAGGGCGCTCTATAGCGCGTAGGCCTGTCGCTTGTTCTTGATCAGCAGGAGAATGAAGAAAGGCGCGCCCACGAACGCAGTGAGAACGCCGACGCGAAACTCGGCCGGCTGGACGATCGTCCTCGCGACAGTATCCGCGACGATGACGAAGACGGCGCCGCCCGCGGCGCTCATCGGCACGAGCACACGGTGGTCCGGGCCAAGCACGAGCCTAATGACATGGGGCGTCACCAGGCCCACGAATGCGATGGTCCCGCTCACGGCAACGGCAGCCCCGGTCGCCAGCGCCGCGGCGGCCAGGAGGCCCGGGCGAGCGCCAGGCCGCCACCGGACTCACCATCGAGCGGGCTCGTCGTCGGCCAGCATGTCAGCAGGTCAGCGTCGCGGAGCCATCAGCACGACCACAGCGACGCCGCCCAGGATGAGCGGCGCGGAGATACGGACGTGCTCCCAAGAGCGGGAGTCCAGCCCACCAACCAGCCAGAACAGGATCTCCCGCAGGGCCTCGTTGTCGGGCAGGAGGATGATGATCGCGGAGACGACTGCGCCCAGGAAGGCGTTGACCGCGACTCCCGCAAGCAGAAGCGTTGCCATCGAAAAGCGCCCCCCAACGGCGGCGATGCCGTAGACCAAGAACGTGGCCGCCATTGCGCCCACGAAGGCGAATGCCGGGAGCGCGAGGAAGAAAAGGCCCGTCATCCCCGTGGCGATAGCAACGACTGCCCCCACCGCACCGCCGGCCGAGACGCCGATGATCCCAGGATCGGCCATCGGGTTGCGGAACAGCCCCTGCATCGTCGCCCCGGCGACCCCCAAGGCCATGCCGACCGACGCGCCACGACGATCCTGGGGAGCCTGATCTGCTCGATGACCAGCTGCTCGGTACGGCTGAAGTCGACGAAGTCGAGACCGAGCAGCGACAGAACTATCGATGCGACGTGGCTGGCAGGGATGTTGACCGGTCCGAGGCTGAGGGAGACGAGCGCGGCGGCAAGTACCAGCGCCAGGAGGAAGGAGAATCCCACCGCCAGCCGGGCCGTTACGCTCGACTGGCGGTAGCCGCGCAGTGTGGGGAGTCCCACAACCCTAGACAACAAAGAAGACCTCCGGCGGCTCTCCGCTGGAGGTCTCTGGTTCGCTCTACCCGGGATGTACCCGACGACCGAGGGACCCTCTCTAAATGCGGAGAGCGGTCACCTTCCGTTCAGGCAGGTCTCCTGGCTCGCGGGTGGATTCATCCCCCGGGCCCTTCATCGCGTCAGCGACAGTGGGCTCCGGATCCTAATCCCGCTTACAGTGGCGCAACCGCGGCGGCTTCTCACCGCCTTCCCTATTCTCCCTGGACGGGCACCTGAACGGGCAGTGTTCGTATGTTATTGCTGGAGGGCATGTTATGGCCCCTCCCGCGAACTGTCAAGGGCTGCTGCGTCCCGACCCCGCACGCGCCCGAAGCAAGACCCTAGGCCGGCTCGGTTCCCTCGTTCAGGATCGAGACGTAGCCGTCATAGGCGAAGAGGCGGCCCCTGTCCCGGCCCGTTATCTCGCGAGCAATCCCTATCTCGACCAGCGATTGCATGGCGGAGGAGGCCGTGGAGAATGCAAGCCCAGTATGCTCGCATACCTGGCCGAGCGACCTGATTGGATGCGACGTGAGGGCCTGGTGCACGCGCAGCGCCGAACCGGCTATGCGTCCGAGCCCTTCGATCCTAGCGCTGTCCTCCCTGATCATGTCCGAGAGCCGGATGGACGTGGCTACGGCGATCTCCGCCGTCTCACGCACGCCCTCCAAGAAGAAGGCGAGCCACGCCTCCCAGTCGCCGGTCCGGCGCACCCGGTCCAGCAGGTCATAGTAGGTCGAACGATGCTGCTTCAGGTACAGGCTCAGGTACAAGAGCGGCTCTTGAAGCACTCCAGCATCCCAGAGGAGAAAAGTGACGAGCAGACGCCCCACGCGTCCGTTGCCGTCGAGGAACGGGTGGATGGTCTCGAACTGCACATGCGCCAGCCCAGCCCTCAACAGCACAGGCAGGCCGTCGTCCGTTGCATGGAGGAAGCGCTCCAGCGCCCCCATACAGTCAGCCACCTCCGTGGGTGGCGGGGGGACGAAGGCCGCGTTGCCGGGGCGCGAACCGCCGATCCAGTTCTGCGATGTCCGAAACTCGCCCGGGGACTTCTCGCTGCCCCGCCCGCCTGAGAGCAGCACGCCGTGTATCTCACGGATTAGCCGGTTGGATAACGGGAACCCGCCGCGCAGCCGCTCCAGACCATGATAGAGGGCGGCCACGTAGCTGGATACCTCCAAGACGTCGTCAAGGGGAGCGCCCCTCGCCTCGTCGCTTTCGAACTTCACAAGGTCCGAGAACGACGACTGCGTACCCTCGATCTGAGAGGAGAGTACCGCCTCTTTGCGGACATAGGCGTATATGAACAGGGCCGGTTGCGGCAGCAGGGCAGTGACGCTGTCCAGTCGCCCCAGGCTATGAGCGCCCTTTCGAGGAGCTGCTGCAGGTCCCCGTCCAGGGCCAGGGGCGGGTCCGGTGGCAGAGGTGCAGGGACGAAGGCGCGGACCTGCTCGCCCCGATAGTCTCTGACGTGATACCTGCCCGTCGTGCCACGTCGCATAGCATGGACTCCTCCTCGACCGGGAAACCAGAGTTCCCATCAGGAACTCGAAATAAGAGTCTCCTTTATTATAGCAAATGGGCCTAAGTCAAAATAAGGAATCCTCGGCTGTACCTCGTCAGAGGCGCATTTCCCTATTCAGAACTCGAAACAACGGCGCCGTCTATTATGATAACTGGGCTTAACTCAAAATAAGATGCGCCGACAGTCGATCCCATCACTTCAGGAACTCGAAACAACGCCTCATCTTATTATGGCAATCAGGCTTAAGCCGTAATAAGAGTGCGTCTGCCCTGGAGTCCCCGGTGCTCACCTGCTCCACGTTGGGTGGAAGGCCAGCCGTGGAGGATGCTGGCAGGCGTGCCCCAGCACCAGGACGTTCTTGCGTCTCATTCCCGTCTCGGGCGCGATACGGTCCGCCTGGTCGCGGGAGAGCAGCAGCGCCGCTGGTGAGCCGCTCAGCTCGGGCGCCGGATGAGCCTCAGCAAGGCAGCCGTACGTACCTGGGCGAACCTGACGCCGAAGGGTACGTTGGACACGAGCCGGCTGCCGGCGGGCAGCGATGCGTAGTCGAAGCCTCGAACGGCCCGTTGACGAGGGCCGTGCTGCGTCGCTGCGAGCCTCGTGAGGGCGGCGCGGTAGGCGTCGGCGTCGACCTCGAGGCCGATTCCATGAGCCGCGCCGTACCTGTCCACCGCCATGCCCAGGATAGTACCGGTGCCCATGAACGGGTCGAACACCGTGTTTCCGTCTTCCCACGCCCGCCACGGTAAGGAGGCCGCAGGCAAGGTGGCGCCTGAGGAGCGCCTGGTAGTGCGTCCTGCTCGTCGCCCAGGTTGCTGTAGAGCTGGAGTCCGAGCACGGCCTTCTCCACGTCTGCCTTGCACACCAGGCGGATGCCATCGCGTTGGGACAGACGCCACCTGGGGAAGCAGCAGCGACGCGCGCGGCTGACGACCCTGTGGAGCGCATCCCTGCGTATGGACGTGCGCCCGTAGAGCTCGGTCGTGACCGAGAAGCGGCGTGAGGCCTTCCTCTCCGCCAGCGGCAGCCACTGCAGGACCGAGTCCTTGAGGCGGCCGCTGTCGAGCCGCCGCGCCAATTCGCCCGCTGCATCCAGTTGCCCGGACGGGGCGAAATCGGCCAGGGAGCCATGAACTACGGAGGGTGTGAGCAGCCGCTCGGAATCGAGCCCTTCGACTACGGGAGTGAGCAGCGAGGAGTCGCGGTGGTGGAAGGCGACGTGTCCTGAGACACCGAGGCCGCGCAGCTCCCGAAGCGTGGCGAAGGCCCAGCCGGGCTGGGTCGTGAGGAAGTACGCTCCCTTCAAGCGGCGTGCCTGGACTCTATCCGGCCCACCTGTCTACGTCGATGACGTGCTGTCCGCCGCCGAAGCCCCTGAACCCGCCGCCGCGGCTGACGCCCGACGACCTTATGGAGCTTCCGCCGCTTCTGGAGCCCCAGGAGCTTCTCACGCCCGTGGAGCTGCTCTTGTACGCCCCCGAGGACTGCTGGGTCGACCGGTAGCCCGTCCTGGCGGTGCTCAGGCTCCTGCCCGCCGAGTTGTACTGGGACGAGGCGAAGCCTGTCTTCTGGCTGGTGAAGTAGCTGCTGTTCCGGGACACCTGGCTGCGGTACCCGGAGGAGCCGCGGTAGTGGTCGCGGTGCCTGTTCAGGTTGCGGCGGGCGTACGCGGGAGCCGTGTTGTAGTAGTACCCCCTGGGGCTCAGGGACGAGATGATCAGGTACGTGAACAGGAAGTTCCCGGCCCCGAAGCCTTGGTTGTAGTAGGAGTTGGCGCCGTACCCGCGCATCTCGTGCTGCTCGTTCCGCTTCACGATGTCGAACAGCTTGTCGTCCTCAGCGTCGTCGATCTCGTAGCTCTTGTTCAGGTCCTCCCACCCCTCCAGCACCAGCGCGTCGGGGTCCTGCCTCGCCCGAACCAGGACGAGCCCGTCCCCCTCGTAGATCTCGTTGACGCGCTTCTCGAAGTCGGTGGCGCTGTCGGAATCCTTGAATGCCTTCTGCACCTCGTCGAGGTTTATTCGGCCGGCCGCGCCGTCGGTCGCAGCCCACTGGTCGTAGCTTGGGCCGGAGCTGCACGCGGCAACGACGGGGCCTGCGGCGATCAGCGCTCCTGCGGCGGTGCGGGTGCCTAGCTTGGTGAATTTCTTGTTCATCTCAGTTCCTCCATCATACCAACGGATCGGCCATAGCGATGCAGTGTCATACCATTATCCCGGCAAGCTCCGCGGGCAGCTCGATGTCCTCGGGCTCAGGGTTGTGCCGGCCAATCTCTGAGTCCGCCACTTCCAGCAGCCTGGGCACGAATGAATCCAGTGTGTCCAGCAGAAAGCCCTCGAACTCGACCCCGCAGTCGCGCTGGAACGCCGCCACTGCGGACCTGTGGTCGAGCGGCGCGAGGGGCGCGACGGCCATCATCTCCTGGAGACGCTCGAGGTGGCCGCACCACAGATCGTCGCCCGTCTGGACCAGCACCGCGCGCGCCAGCCCATCGAATCGAGCCGCGCCCAACGCCGTCCGTGCTTCTTCCAGCCTGCCGGCCAGCAGATCGCCAAGTCCCTGCTCGAGTGCGTCCAGCCCGAGGCCCCACAGCCCCTCGCAGTCCAGCCCGAAGTCGAGGTACGTCGTCGCCGCCAGATCGTCGAAGCGCCGGTCGTAGTCGGTAACCGGCGCAGCCCCAAAGCAGCGAGCCACAGCTCTCCCGGCGAGCCCCTCGAGAGGCGAGAACGCACTCCTCGTACATGGCGTCGGACGCTGGCGTCGCCCTGCGGCGCGAGTAGTAGGCCAGCGTCTGCCCGTCGAGCACACGGTAGTAGTCGGACAGGAATGCGCGCTGCGCCTCGTCGTCCAGGGTCGAGAGGTCCTGTATGCGTTCGAGCTTGCGGTCGTCGACGCGCAGCGGTCCGGATGCCTGGTCGTGCGCGGGGCCCCGATCACGGAGACCGGCGCCCAGGCTCCTCCCTGCGAGCGGCCGGTCCTCGAGCGACACCATGAAACGGGTTGTGCCCGCCTGGCCCTGCCGCCCCGCCCGGCCCCTCAGCTGGTCGTCGACCCGCCTGGACGGGCTCATCTCCGTTCCGATCACGTGCAGGCCGGTCCCGGCATCCGGCACTATGTCGGTTCCCCGTCCCGCCATGTTGGTGGCGACGGTGACAGCACCGGGCTGCCCTGCCGCCTTCACAATCGCCCCCTCGTCAGCGCTGTTGACCGCATTCAGCGTCCGGTGAGGGATTCCTCGGTCCCTCAGCACGCCGCTGACAGCTTGAGACTGCTCCACCGTCTGCGTACCCACCAGCACGGGGCGCCCGGCACGTACGTACGACTCCACCTCGTCGACCATCGCCCGCAGCTTCTCGCTCGTCGTACCGAATACGAGAGGCTGCATGTCGACCCGCCGCGACGGCAGGGTCGTTGGAACGCGCATGATGTCCATTCCGTACATGCGGCGGAGCTCGTCTCTCGAGGCGAGGGCAGTGCCAGTCATGCCGCCCAGGTGCGCGTACTGACGCAGGAAGCCCTGGATGGAAATCTGGGCCGCAGCCTGGCGCTCAGGTTTGATTGGCAAGCCCTCCTTTGCTTCCAGAGCAGTGTGAAGGCCGTTGCGGTAGGTGGTGTCCGGCCTGCGGCGCCCAGTCAGTTGATCGACCAGCACCACCTGGCCCTCCGCGACGACGTAGTCCACTCCTCGGCGCAGGAGCAGATGGGCGCGCATGGCCTGCTGGACCTGGTTCGACAGGGCCCTGCGGCGCGAGATGCGCCGGTCCAGCCTGTCCTCCACTCGCCGCCGCCCGGCAACGTCGGGTCCGGAATCGGCCCGAACCCGCTCCAGCTCAGCTTCGAGTCCGCTCGTGTCGAAGACGGCACCCAGGCGGGACTCGACAAATCGGTGGCCCCGTTCGGTCGGGATGACCGACCCATTGTCCTCGTCCAGCCGGTAGTAGAGCTCGTCGACCTGTGTCGAATCGGCGAACTCTATCGCGTCCGCGGCGTCGGAGCGGATACGCCTGGCGGTCCCCGGGTCCTGGGCCGCCAGGCGGGTGATGTACTCGTTCTCAGGGTCGGCCATGAACAGCGCGGCCAGCACACGGCGCTTCTCGCCGCCGTTGGGCAGCGCCTGGGCGGTGCGTGCCAGCCGCTCCGTAACCCGCTCCTGCAGCGCCGCCATCTCTTGCACGACGACGTTCGCGGTGTGTGCAGCGCGGCGGCTGGCCGGCCGGCTTCCCGAGATGATCAGCGGCGTTGGTGACTCGTCGATCAGGACCTGGTCTGCCTCGTCGACGATGGCGGCGTCGAGCCCGCGCTGCACCCCCTCCCAGTCCGAGTGCCGCATGTTGTCGCGCAGGAAGTCGAAGCCCAGCTCTCGCACGGTGCCGTAAACTACGTCGGCGCCGTAAGCGCTGCGCCTCTCGTCGTCGTTCATGTGCTGCAGCACGGCCCCGACAGTAACCCCCAGCGATTCGTAGACCGGGGCGAGGTGCTCGGCGTCCCGGAGGGCGAGATAGTCGTTCGCCGTCACAACGTGCACGCGCCGGCCCTCCACCGAGTGGCGGACTGCCGGGAAGACGGCGGCGATGGTCTTCCCCTCTCCCGCGCTCATCTCGACGACGCCCCCCCGCCACATGTGCAGCCCGGCCAGGACCTGCTCGTCCGTGGCCGCGAATGCGAGCGCTTCGGCCATCGGGGAGTCTTCGATCGCGTCGTAGAAGCTGGCGGGGAGCTCGATGTCCCACGGGTCCTGGCTGCGCAGCCGATCCATGACTGACGCAAGAGTCCCCACTATGAGGCGGTCGCTGTCGGACATCCCCATCTCGTCGAGTACCGAATCCACTGCGCCCTGGCGAGGGCCGTTGTTACGGCTCGTTGACCTGCGGGAGATTTCCTCGACAACCTGCTGGGCCATCCCCCGGTAGGAGGCGACGGCCTTGTGCTCGAACTCGGGGTCGAAGAGACGCCACGCTCCCAGGCGCCGCCGTATCGCCTCGGCGACAACGCCGAACGTCGCTGCCGGCGCAACGGTCTCCTCGTGTTCCCGCGCCTCCGCGAGGGCATGTGCCAACTCCCCATCCGACAGCGCCGCGAACGGACGCGCCCTGATCCGTGCGATGGCGTCCGAGTCACGCATGGCCGTTTATCTGCTCCTGTTGCTCCGGAGGCGGCACGATTAGCACCGGGTCTCCGCCGCTGCGCACCAGGGTCTCCGCGAGGCTGCCTATGAGCCAGCGCCTGAAGCCCGAGCGTCCGTGGGTGGTCAGGGCCACGATGCTGTGGGGTATGTCCCTCACGTGCTCGAGGACGATGGTCGTCGGATGGCCCACGAGGACGCGCCACTCGACGTCGATGCCGTCCTGGCTGAGACTCTCTGCCGTCGACTCCATGTACTCCCTGGCCTCGTTCTCCATGAGCTCGTTCTCTTCGTGTATCTCCGGGGGGTGCTCGCCCACCCAGAAGTAGTGGAGGGGCCGCACCACCCTGAGCAGCACCACCGTGTATTCGAGCATCGAGGCCATCTGTTGGACGTAGGGCAGAACGGTCTCGGCGAGCGCCGAACCGTCGAGTGGGACGACCAGCGAGTGATCAGGTGTCGCTGCCGTGGTAGGCCCTAGCCTTGGTCGGGGTGATGGTCAGCACGGGGATGGGCGCGGTGTGGACGACCCTGTCGGTGACGCTGCCGAGGATGCCCCGTCCCAGCAGGCTTCTCCCATGGGTGGACATCGCTATCAGGTTGCAGCCGAGCCGATCGGCCGTGCCGGTAATCTCCGAGTCCGCCCGGCCGGAGACGACGAGCTCCTCGGTCCGGACCCCGTCCTGGTGGAGCTGATGCGCCGCGTTGTGAAGCCTGCTCTGGGCCTCCTGCTCCGCGCGCTCGAACAGGCTGGAGTAGTAGGACTCGCTCATCTCCAGGGCGCCGCGGTCCATCACCGAGAGAAGTGCTACCCCGATGTCCATGCCCGAGGCTATGCGGGAGACGTAGAGGCAATATCGCCTCGGCCTCGTCGGAGCCGTCGAGCGGCACCAGTATCTTTCGGAACATTCGCGCCACCTCTAAGGTAATGGCCCTCGGACTATACGCTCTCCCCTGCTTCGAGTGATAGTATAACGCGCCGGTAGCTCGGGTCTTCCTCGGGGTCCTCGAGCCTGTATACGCTCCGGTATATCTCCCTCACGGACGAGCACAGCGGTCTCGCGGGCCGTCGGCGGGCCATCGGCGAGTATGGGCTGGAGTCACCAGCTTCAGCGGCCGGGCCGACAGCCCCTGAGTCTCCGGCTGCCAATAGTCGCACGGCGCAGTGTACGCACGCCATTCCGACACATATTGGCGGTGGAGCGGGCTGTCCTCCTCGACCTCCGAAACGATGTAGTCCACGCCGGGCTTGCCCGCGTCCCGCGCATCGGCAGCGATGGCCTCCACGAGCCTCGCCCGCATCGCGTCGTACAGCCCCCTGTTCCTGGCCCGCCGCTCTACCGCCGAGTACAGGACCATGCCAACGTCGACGCGGGGCAAGTATGCCCCAACTACCGCGCCGACAACCGTGTTGCCGTGCAGGGCCACCAACACCTTCAGGACGGCCCCCAGATCGGCAGCGCGGCAGACGGACTGGAGGAAGGACGCTCGGTCTTCAACATGCCCCGGCGGGAATGCCGAGAGGAGCAACGAGTGTACTTCGAGGACTCGCTCCGTATCGCGCGGGTCCACCAGGGCCACGTCTACGTCTCCGCTCAGGCAGGACTCACGCATGAGCGTGGCGGCGGTCTACGATGCGCGGGGTCTTGCGGCTCGCCAGGCGCATCTCGTCTACGAAGGACACCTCGAGCTCCAGGAAGCCGCTCGATATGAGGTACGCGAGGTCAGGCTCCCTCGTCTTCATCGCGCGCACGATGGCCGGCTCCTGCGCGGCCAGGGAATCCGGCAGCGTGACGCTCATCCGGTCGCGGCCGTTGCCGATGAGGTCCACGCCAATAGGGCCCTCGTACTCCACCGGCCAGAGCGCGGCCCGGCAAACGGTGTCGTAGGTGAGCTTGACTCCGAGGACGGACACGGTGCCGTCGGTGCGCCCCAGCACGTCTATCCTGGGATAGGCGAGACCGCAAGGGCAACCCCCGTCCCTCATACGCAGGATGTCTCCCAGGACGTACCTGAGCAGTGGCAGACCCTCGCGGTCCAGGCTCGTGATCAGCGCTTCTCCCTCGGGGCCGCCCCCGGTAATCTCCACAATGTTCCAGTCGGTGAAGATATGTATCCCCGCATGGGCACCGCACTCGATGCCCAGGGCCGACGTCTCCGATGCGCCGTAGTAGGCGAACACCTCCAGCCCCAGTTCCTCTTCGAGCGACCTCCGGGTCGCCTCCCGCATCTTCTCGCCTACGTAGACGATCTTGCGCAGGCGGCGCGGCCCGATACACAGGCCGGTGGAGAGCGGCCCGATGATCCGGTCGAGTATCGACGGTATCGTAATGACGACGGTGGGGTCGAGCGCCAGCAAGCCTTCGACCGTTGCCTCTTCGTCCATGTAGACGCTGAACGCCCAGGACTCGTCGACGCCCAGACGGTCCAGCGCCTCGATGAAGGAGACCATGAGGGTCAGCGGCCCCGTGTCCAGGCATGCAACCGAGTCGCCCGGCCCGATGCCGGGTACTGCCAGGAGCCGGGCCAGGACCTCGGTCTCGGCCTCGGAGTCCCTCCTCGTCATGATCCGGCGCTTGGGCGGTCCCGTCGTGCCGGACGACACCTCTATGTCCGCAATGTCGCCGGCGGATCGAATAGTCTCGTCCACGAGGTCGCGAAAGCGCTTCCCTGCCAAAGAGGGAAGCCGGCGGAGCAGGGACACGGGATCGCCCTCGACGATGTCGCGCCGGGCCAACCCGCACTGGCGGAACGTATCCCTGTACGACCCCAGTGCGTCGTGAGCGAAAAGCATCTGCCGGCGCAGGGCGGCCCGGGGCGGGGCTCCGACGAGTGTTGCGCAGGTCTCCGGTAGCGTCACCCGGCGTCCTGGCGGATCAGCTGCGGCCATCTCCTCTGGCTTCAGGCGGGACTTGCCGATGTAGACGAGCTGGTCGCCCTGCGAAACCTCTATTTCGTCGAAGTCCATATGGACCGAGTCGTTCCGGATGACGCCCACCAAGTTGACGCCGTGGTCGAGCAGTGCCTTTGCGGCGTTCGTATAGGTTGTTCGCGGGGGTGTCGACTCTGAACCGGTACTGGCGCCAGTTGGGCTGGCTGCTGGCGTCCATCTCGTTGCTCGTCATCGCCAGAGTGAGCCTCGTCACGCCGGAGTCCTGGGACTCCTGCACGAACAGATTGTTCACTACATCCATGGATAGGACCAGGGTCAGGTTGGCCGACGAATCGAACAGGACCGCGTGGCGAGAGTCCAGGCACTCCGCGATCACCCTCACGCCGGGGTTGACCTGGTGGACCACGAAGCGATGGACGCGACGAGGCTGTCGCTCCGCGGGTCCTCATGACTCGGGCTGAGGACCATGACCTGCCGGGCGTACTCCAGGTTCGCCCGCCTGAAGGTATCCTCGTCCAGCGGCCACCCGCGCACAAATGACACGTCGTCTTTGTCGAAGGGCAGCTCTTCGATATCGTGGTCGACGAGTACGATGTCGATATTCTTGTGGTCAGAGTCTCGCCTGTATTCATTGATGATCTTCTGGACCCTCGCCGCGCCCGGAAAGTTCACCACTATCAGATGGTCCCTTGCGTTGACCATGCCCATGCCCTTTCGCTCCTTGTGCCGGAGGTCGGCCACCCAGTCGACGGCCATCCCCAATGCAGTGGTAAATGTGGCCAGGCCGATCAGCACGATGAATACGGCTGTTCCGATCCTCGCCCCCAGCGACTCTGCCGAGAAATCGCCGTAGCCTATGGTCGTGACGGATATGACGCTGTACCAGATGCTGTCCCAGATGGAGATGTCCGGGTTGGCGCCGCTCTCGAACAGGTAGAAGGAGAGGGTGTTGCCGCCGATGGCGACCACAGCCAGCACGAGGAGCAGGGAGATGCCAAGCTCCTTGCGGCGCCGTACCTGTCTGAGTATGCGAGACAGCGAGTAGAACATCGACCTGGCCCCGTCAGCCGAGCGCGCCGAGCTTCATATGGTATAGACCGAGGCTCTCCACCGTATCTTCGGTCTCGATTCGCAGCATCGGCTGTGTCCTGTTGTGGAGCGCCGTCACCACCAGTTTCCCGGACTCGGACCGCTCGTACAGGTACTGGTCATTATAAAGCGTCCAGCGCTCCATATCTCCCGAGTGCCCCAGGAAGCCGAGCTCGTCGACCATGTAGACGTCGATCTGGCGCAGTTGTGAGAGCCTGTGGGCCCTCCTAAAAGTAACAGCGTGCCCCGCGCGGCCGGCCACTCTCGTCTCGTCGAACCCATCCGTCAGGACCACCACGAGATCGGGGGCCAGTAGACGCGCCCCCCTGTATGCACTCTCGTCACCCCTGTCGACGAGCACGTGCGCGGGGATGCCCATGTACCCGATTATCGTGCTGATCTCGGCCGCGAAGTTGCGGCGGGTCGGGCTCGCCACGACGACAGCCGTGTGGACGGCAACCACGTCCCAGGCATCCCTGAGCGCGTCGGCGTAAAGAGTCGTATGGGCGGGCCGCGTTCTCCGTCACTGCTCCTCCCCCCTTCCCGCGACTGCTATACCGCGGCCGCGTGCGGCCCCTGTAAGGGCCGACTATCCACCTTGAGCGCTTTCCCGGTCTCCCGCCAGGGTGTCTCCCGAGCGCGTGGTCGCCGCCAGCAGGCTGATGGGCGTGATGGGAAGCTCCTGGAAGTCGTCCAGGCCGCCGGATGCCGCGGGCTCCGTTGAGACGTCCCCGGTAGAAGCGGGTCCTGCCAGCCGCTTCCACCACCGCGCCAAGCAGCTCTACAAGGTTTGCGGGCGACTCGTACTTCACGGCTCGCTCGCCTGGCTAAGTGCTCCATCACCATGCGCCGTCGATGTTGATGGACTGGCCGTGTATCCAGGACGCAGCCTCGGTGCACAGGTACGCCATGAAGCCGCCGACCTCGTCCGGTGTACCCGCACGGCCGATGGGATGGGCGGCGGCCCTCGCCTGCCACTCCTCGCCTCTGCCGAATCCGTCCATCCTCGCGGTGTCGACGGCGGCCGGGCAGACCGTGTTGACGTTCACGCCGTGCGGGCCAAGCTCATGGGCCAGCGACTGCGTCATGCCCACGATGGCGAAGTTCGCCGCGTTGTAGGCTGCGGCGTTCCGCGGCCCCACGCTTACGGCGGACGAGGAGACGCTCACGATCTTGCCTCCCCGGCCCTGCTTCAGCACCTGACGGACGAACGCACGCGAGCAGAGGTACATTCCGCGCACCTTCACGTCGACGACCTTCTGGAAAAGGTCGGGCTCCACGTCCACTATCGACGCGCGGTCTGCGCCGATGGGCATCGCGGCGTTGTTGATGAGGATGTCGGCGCTGCCGAGCTCGCTGACCGCCTGCGCGACCATGTCCTCCGTCTGCCCCACGTCCGTGACGTCGACGACCATGGTGAGCGCCCTGCGGCCCAGCGCCCGGATGTCGTCCGCCGTGCTCTCCACGTCCCGCCAGCCATAGCCTTCTCGTCGTCGGGGAAGGTTGCCGGGTCCCGGCCGGTGCCGGTGACGACCACGTCCGCCCCCAGCCCTGCCAGCGCGATGGCCGTGGAATACCCAATCCCTCGTCTCCTGCCTGCGCCCGTGACTATCGCCACCCTGCCTTCGAGCTCTCCCATCTGCCTGTCCCTTCCGGCGGGAAGGAATTCCTCCCGCCTGCCGCCACTAGATATTCCGCTACTGGGCCACTCGGAGCACCCGCTGTGTCATCAGCACTATCAGGGTCATGGCCGTGACCGTTCCGCCCATGATGACGAGGGTCGCCCTCGCGCCCAGGTTGTCCGCCGCGAGTCCCAGCGGCAGGACGCCGAGGGGGACCAGCCCGATGCTCAGCATCAGCACGCTCATCACCCTGCCCCGGTACCTGTCGTCGACGGCATCCATGGCCAGCGACTCCTTCAGGGCCCTCTGCGGCGATGCGCCCAGGCCCATGAACAGCATGACGGCCGCGCCCGCGACATAGTACGGAAACGAGGCCATCAGCAGCAAGGTCGCCCCGGACATGAAGCTGGTCGCCAGCAGCAAGAGTCCGCGCCGCCGGCTGCCGATATACGCAACGAACAGCGAGCCGGGCAGGGAGCCGATTCCCATGATGGCCGACAGCAGGCCGAGCGACCCCGCCTCCCTCTTGTATATCTCGACGACGAACACGGGCAGCAGCTGGGTGAACGGCATCATGACGAGAGAGGAGACCAGCGCCATCGCCAGCAGCACCATGACAAGCCTGTTCTGGCCGATGACGACCAGGCCCTCCTTCACATCCATCAGCACGTCCCTGGCTGGGCGCGATGCAGTGCGGCGGGTGGAGGGCACCATGCCGGTAAAGACCACCGCGGCAATCTGCAGCACGAACATGCCCAGGAAGACGGCCGCGGGTCCAAACAGCTCGTAGAGCCCCCCGGATATGGCGGGAGCGGTGAGCATGATGGCGCTCGTTCCCGCCGAGTTCAGTCCTATGGCGTTGGTGATTTCCGAGCGGTCGACGAGCTCGGGGATGATGGCCTGCCTGGCGGGCAGCATGAAGGCGAACAGCGCGCCGTGGATGGTCGAGGCGACGAGGATGTGGTACCAGGTCACCGTCTCGGTGATGACCGAAATGGCGAGGGCAAGGGCGATCAGGGCCTCCGCCCCCTGGAAGAGCTGGATCAGCCGCTTGCGCTGCATCCGGTCGGCTATCGCGCCCCCGAAGAGGGCCAGCGCGAGCATCGGCAGGCCGTACCCGATGCTTATCACTCCCAGCCGCCCGGCAGACCCGGTGAGCTCGTAGGCGAGGTATCCCTGGCCCAGGGACTGGAACTGGCCCGCGCACCACATGAACATCGTGCCGGTCCAGAGGTACCGGAAGTTGCGGTTGCGGAGGGCGGCGAAGGTCCTGCCGAGCCCCCTCGTCTCGAACGTCGGTGCCGCAGCATCCGCCTTGGGGAGGGCCTGGGCCCGTCCGGAGCCTGTCGCCTGCGGGGAGGTCGATCCCGGGGTCGGCTGTCCGTCTCCGGGGCCCGGCGCCTTGCTCATGCGTGAAGACTATACCCCGCCCTCGCTGCCCGCAAGCAGACGGCTCACTCCTAACCTCTCCAGAGGGCACACACCTAGAGAAAGACAACAACTATAATGACGCGGATGCGGCGCAGGGCCGCGCAGACATTGGGAGAGACTCTGCTTTGTCGGACGCGGGGACAAGAGAAACGACTCGATGGCGGGGGGCGGACTCGCTCGTACGGGCCATGGAGGCCGGGGGAGTGGGGCGGGTCTTCGCGCTGTCTGGCAACCAGATCATGTCTGTATTCGACGCGGCCATCGACTCCGGCGTGGAGCTGCTGCACGTCCGGCACGAAGCCGCCGCGGTCCACATGGCCGACGCGTTCGGGCGGCTGACAGGCAGGCCCGGCGTCGCGCTGGTCACGGCGGGGCCCGGCTTCGCCAATACGCTATCCGCCCTCTACGTCGCGCGGATGGCCGAGTCGCCCCTGATACTGCTCAGCGGACGGGCCCCGCACAGGGGACAATGCAGGCGCGTTCCAGCAGATGCACCAGGCGGACATGGCGCGCCCCGTTACGAAGGCGTCGTGGACGCTCGCCGAGGGAGCCGATCCGGGACTGGAGCTGGCCAGGGCGTTCCGCATCGCGGCCTCCGGCCGTCCGGTCCCGTGCACCTGGCACTCCCCGTTGACCTGCTTGAGGGGGATGCGCCCTCCCCGGCCGGCGTAGCGGGGCCCACCGACTTTGAGCCAACCGAGTCTCCGGCGGATGGACGGGCCATCGATGCCGCTCTGGACGCACTCCTCGAGGCGAGGAGGCCCCTAGTGCTCGCCGGGCCCGCCATGACACGGGGAAGTGCCCGCGACGTACTGGCCCGCCTGGCCGAGACATCGGGGCCTGCCGGTCGTGTTCATGGAGAGTCCAAGGGGCACTGGAGACCCCAGCCTGGGAGCTCTCGCCGACGTGCTGCCGGATGCCGACACGGTCCTGCTGCTGGGCAAGAAGCTCGACTTCTCCCTGAAGATGGGCCGGCCTCCCTCTTTCGCATCCGGGTGCCGCTTCCTGCAGATCGATGCCGAGGAGTTCGTGATCGAGCAGGCCCGCAGCGTCGTCACGCCTCCCAGGCCGGTCGCCTCTGTCGTCGCCAGCCCTGTTGATGCGGCCGAGTCGATGGTCCGCTCGCTTCAGGGGCGCCGGTTCGCCGACGCAGGCTGGGGCCGGGAGGTCGAGGACGCCGTGGACCACCGCCCGGCGTCATGGGACTCAGTCGAGGCTGCGGATGGCGAGCCCCTCCATCCCCTACAGGTGGCGCGTGTGCTACGAGACACGATGTCAGGCTTCGACGACCCCGTCTTCGTCTCGGACGGCGGCGAGTTCGGGCAGTGGGCGCAGGCGGTGGTCTCAGCCGGCAGCCGCGTGATCAACGGGCCGTCGGGGGCCATCGGGGGCGGCGTGCCATTCGCGCTGGGAGCCAGGGCCGCAAGGCCCGGCTCGACGGTGTTACTGACCATCGGCGACGGCAGCTTCGGGTACCACGCGATGGAGATCGACACTGCCGTGCGCTGCGGCCTCCCTTTCGTCGCCGTGGTGGGCAACGACGCCTCCTGGAACGCCGAGTACCAGATCCAGCTTCGCGAGTACGGCGAGGACAGGCTGTACGGCTGCGAGCTTCTGCATCTGCTGGCGGACGTACTCACAAAGTACGGGGCTATGCCATACGTCTCCTCGCGGCTACCCCTGCGGGCGGCGACGGGTTCGTTGCGTAGGGAATCGCGCTCAGCGGGCGTAATCGCGCCGTTGTCGGCCATGCTGGCCAGCACCAGATTGCGGTGCGTGCGGGCGCTTTCGGGGTGGCGCAGGGGGCTATATTTATTAGGGGCCGGGAGCAGCCCGGCGAGCAAGGCGCTCTCTTCGAGCGCGAGCTGATCGACTTCGCTGTCAAAGTACAGGCGCGCCGCCGACTTAACCCCGTAGGCACCGGCGCCGAAATAGACCGTATTGAGGTACATAGTCATTATCTCGGGCTTGGTGTACAGGCGCTCGATTAAGACGGCGGTGATCTGTTCGCGGATCTTGCGCGCGAACGTGGCCGCCACAGCCGCAAAGGAAGCGCTGCTGCGCTGAGTGCCGACCTCAGAGAAGCTCTTGCGGGCGAGCTGTTGGGTGAGCGTGCTGGCCCCTTGGCCGATGAGGCGTCCATCCTTGAGGTTGGCCAGCAGCGCTCCGGGGATGCGGTAGATGTCGATGCCCCAATGCGAGAAGAAGCGCCGGTCTTCAGCCGCGAGGAGAGCGGCCTGCATGGATGCGGGGATTTCCTCATAGGTGACGATTTCGCGGTTTTCTTCGAGGAAGTCCTGCAAGTGGCGACCGTCGGCCGAATACACGTTGGTGACGGCCTTTTTGGCTTGGAATCCCAAGCGGGAGGTCCACCGTTCGTCCCAACTCTCAGCGCGAACTACCCCTTAGCGTGCCTGAGGATGACGACCGCCGGTAAGGTGGGCAACAGACTCATGACACAGGAAGACAATGGCGGGAAGAGGCGCGTCCGTGACCCGTCGGGAGAGCCGTGGGGCACGACCGGAGGAGTGGGGCTGAAAGCATGTAGAGTAGACGGAAGGGGAAAAGATGAAAAACTACGTGAAGTGAGACGCCAGAGAGGGGGGTAAAGTTAGTATGGGGACTGGGATAGGAGTGGTAGAAGGTCGGGGGACGATGGGCGAGGTAGAGGACGAGGGGAGCGGGGGGAAGGATCAAGGAAGCAGGGTGACGCGAAAGAGAGAGGTCGTTCCGAGGGGTGGGAGACGAAAGTCGGGCAATTTGTCGTTGAAGATCAGATAGCCCCCACGCCGACAGCGGCGTACCAGGCAAAGAGCAAGCGGGTGTACAGCAGCAGCCCTTCTTGACTTGAGCAGAGTGACGGAGAGTAAGCGCGCTTTTGCCCCTTCTATCTAGCACTGCCCAGAAGCTCTTATTCACATGCTCAGTAAGAGGCTAGGCACGCGTTTCGCTCCTTCTACTACCCTGCCCAGAAGCTCTCTATTCATAGTAGCCCTTGACCCAGCGCGTGTTGTATTCTGCAGCGTACGCTAGTGCGCGCTCTAGTTTGCGGGGTAGTGTTCCGCGCGCTGGTACGGGCACGACGGACATGCCGTGAAAGGGCAGCGGCCGACCGTTAGCGAGTTGTGCGCGAGAGTGCAGGGCCATATCTTTGCCAAAGCCGTCGGCGTACAGCAGAAACGAGCGCACCAGACCAGCCGCGGCGGCGGCAAGGCGGCGAATTCAACGGTCAGTTCATCGCCGTGGAACATGATGACAAAGCGGTCGTCAATGCCCTCGACCAGCTCCTCCACCGGGCCGAAGCGGGTGAAGGCTCCGGCGTGGGTGCCCCAAGGCGCTTCTAACGCCAATTGATCGTAGTGATAGCGAAAGGCAAAGGTGCCCTTGATAGCCGTGTGGGCCGGGTAGCCACGCCAGTGGAGATCACTCCGCGCCGGTTGCAGACGGTGGACCGCGAGAGGAACATCCGCAGCGTCGCCGACGAGCAGTTGGTCCCAGTAGAGCGCGGTGTTGGTTTCGATCCGCAGCCGGTAGTCGTCGGACGGGAACAGGCCGGCTAGTCGAAAAGCGCGTGTTTGGGCAGGCCCGCCGGGCAACCCATATCCGCGCTGACTTCGATCCATCCTCCCTCGCCATCGGCTACCGACAGGCGCGGCGGATACAGCGACAACCGCGCTGCGCAGCGCTCCAATTGGAGGTCGAATGCGCGTAATCGACCCACCCATAGCCGAGCAATACCGGATGGGCGAATTCGGACAGGTCGCCCAAGTTCAACTCTAGCGCATAGTCTTCGGCATAGCCGTGAATATCGAGCCGACCAAACCCGTCGTACCACTCGTCGTCGATCTCTTGCAGGACGTCCAACACGTCCGTGCTCCGGTGATCGCGAGCGGCTACCGGCGGACGCAGCCCTCGCAGGGGATACAGCTTGAATTCTGGATAGTGCGGCGCGGAGAGCAGGCGCTCGTTGGGATAGATATCGAACTCGGGCGGATGATCGACGGCGATAAGTTCCAGGGCATCCATGTAAATGATTTCCTCTAGCTGATTCGCTAGCTGCAAGACATAGCGGCCGTCCTTGGGAGCCAGCGGCCCCAAGCGAACGTACTCGTCGGTGTCGGGCTGGTAGTACTGACCGGGGCGGTCAAATAGCCAATAATGGCCCCCCCGAGAATGTCGGTGACAAAGCGATAGCGCTCGCCGTCCCAAGCGTAGAGAATGGGGCACGAGGTACCCTTGCGGTCGAGTTCGGTCAGCTCCAGCCGCTGTCCACCCGGTGGCCAATTCGGTCTGGCGCACGCCCCCGGGCCAGAGGATGCGGATGAATTCGACCGAGTCGCTCTGCGCCAAGCCGAAGTGGAGCACGCCTGCGTATCCCTCGCTGCGGATTTCGCGCTTCTGGAGGCGATGGGTGGTTTTCACCTCTACCTTGGCCCCGACGCCGTCGCGATTGCTGTTGAGGCCGTGGGCGGCGATCTCGATCCAGCGTCCCCCCTCGCTTTGGTTGTGTAGCACCCGACCACCCGCCCAAATATCCACGCGGCCGTCGCCATTAAAATCGGCCATCAGCGCAGCCCCACCCGGCTCGTCGAGCGGGGATTGCGGCTGGAATTGGCCGCTGCTATACGCCAGCGGTTGCAGTTGCTCGTCTCCGCAGGCGAGCAGATCGAGGTCGCCGTCGTTATCGAGGTCGGCGGGGAGCAGTGCCCGCCCGCCGGACGCAACCGGTGCCTCGGCCCGGACGAAGGCGCGGCCGGCTTGGTTGATATGCGTCTCTACGGTGCCGCTGGCCGCGATAGCCAAGTCCATATAGCCGTCTTGGTTGAAGTCCTCGACGGCCAAGTCCGTACCCTGCACTGCGCCCAAACCTAAGGCAGAGGCGATTTCCGCGAATGTGCCGTCGCGATTGTTGTAGGACTTGCAACCCCGCGGCGGAGAGCAGGACCATATCCACATCGCGGTCGTTGTCGAGGTCAGAAAATGCAGCGCGGTCAAGAAGCCGTCAGCCGAGACCCTCTCCACCAGCTGTGTGGTCCAGTGGCGGCGAAGCGGGCCTCGCCGTCGTTGGCCAGCAGCGAGACGCGCGGGCCGAGCAGCAGCAAATCGAGGTCGCCGTCGTGGTCGGCATCGCCCAACGCGACACTGGTCGAGGCCGCGGACAGGTCTTCTCCGGCGGCCCATTGGCCGTTGGCCGCTCGGTAGAGCAGGGTTCCGCCCGCGCCGCTGAGCACCAAGTCGGCGGTCCCGTCGTTGTCGAGGTCGCCGGAGATCGCGCCAGTCGCCCCAAAGCCGTCGGGAAGCGGTCGGATGCAGGCGCACTCCTCGGTGCCACGCAGCATATAGGTGCAAGCCCGGACCCCGGCCAAGACATCCGCCACGGCCATCCGCGTCAAAAGTCGCCAGGCGGCCAAGCGCACCGGGCGGTTGCGGGCCAGCCGCGGCGAATGCAAAGGCCGGCACATCGTCCGCTCGGATCGCCGCACGGCACAGCGTCGACGGCCTCCGCGTATTTGCCCTGCCCTGATAGGACGAGAGAACAAGACAGCTTGGTAGGCCGGCTGGCTGAGCGGTTGAAGTGCTCCAATGGTGCTTTTCCAATTCTCCTTCGCTCGCGCCTAAAAAGACGAAGGACAGTCCAACAGGAAAGATGGCTGCAGAGAGCCCCGGTAGCAGACCGCCGGTACCCGACCGTAAAAGAGAAGAGGAAAAGAGACAGAAGCTTCCGGAAGAAAAATGAAGAAGACGCGGCCCAGTTATCTGCGTAGGCGATCCCGGTAGGATTGGCCATTCCATAGGTACCCGACACGTTTAGGGGCGAGGCGGATGGCCTCCTTGAAGTCGACGAGGGCGGGCCCTCGCCTCGTTTAGCTTGGCCGCATTTGCCCATGTAGAGTAGCGCACATGGGGGTCGTCGCGGTCTCGACGGCGGCGACCCTTTGCAGAGCGGCGAGCGCTTGTCGTGACTCTCGCCTTGGGCATTGTAGATCAGCCAGCGCGTAGTTGGCGGGGAGCAGTCGCGGTCATGATGGCGATGGCGCTTGCAGGCCGTGGCGGCGCTGTCGTACTTGCCGAGGCATAGTACGCGCAATGCCGAGATTGGCCTGAGCACTAGCGTAGTCTGGGGCCAGGCGGGCGCGGGCGAACTCCCGGCCCGCGCGTTGTGTGTGTTGATCCATGTAAACCACGCCCTGATGTTGTGCCAGCGTGCCTTGGGAGGCCACGCCGCGACTCCTCGGGCGGCCCCTGCTCACAGGCCGCTCCCAAGAGGGCCCGCAACGAGAGTCAGCAGAGCTTGGCACACCTGAGCTTATTCGGGGCATGGTTATATTTTTCCTTCCATAGTGATTGATTTTCGAGCGAGAGTAGCTCAGTTGGTAGAGCTCCACGTTGCCAACGTGGTTGTCGCGGCGTTCGAGTCCGTCTCTCGCTCCATTTTTTGTGCTTCAACCTCCATTTCAATATAGCTAAAACCCCCATTGAGAAAAGCTGGTCCGGGTCTTGTCTCAGGTCGAGTTCTAGGGAATCTACGCTCAATTTCTAGAGGATCCGCCCGGACCGGCAAAGCGCTGGCCAAGGCGGAACAAATCGCCCAGTGGGTTTTTGCGGTCCTCCAGGGCGTCGGCTATAAACCGGTCCAATGGAACCGCCGATTTAAAGCCGTGGCCCGCTGCCACAACCGGCGATGAGAATCCCCCCCGCCCTGGGGCCCAGTCGATGACGAAGTGGTCGTCGGGCGTATTGGTGTACAGGCAGGCGCGGCCCCCCACCAGTCGGGCCCCTTCCAGCGCGGGCAGGCGCTGGGCGACAAAGGCGCGGGCCTGGTCGAGGAAGCCGGGGCTGGGTTGGCGATCGGCCTCGGGCTCGGCGCCTCCACTTTGCTGTCCTCGGCGATTTGACGTACCCTTCGCTCAGCAGCGGAAAAGCCTGTACCAGCGCCGCCTCGGACTCAGCGCCGTCCACACGGGGAAGATCTTCTGGGCGAACTTTTCGG